CTTTAGAGTGAATAAAATGTCATTATATATGTAGTGTTGTCGGCGGCTGACAAGAGTTTATATGGAGAAAGGACAAAATACTCCTTGAATATTTCGCTATCATCAACTCTATGGCTTATTTATTTATCAAAATTCATTTAATATGACATAGTAAACAATATAAATAACATATAAACCTGATAAATACTCTGGAATGAATCAAATATGTCATTATGTGACAAGTGGAGGCAGCCATAACTGTTCCAGCATTGTTGTGGTAACCACTGCCATCTAGTGACAGCCTTTTGAAGTCATCTGTTTTAATTATATAGTACATTATTATTATACGTACAGTGGACCCCCGGTATTCGATGGCATTGGTATTCGATAAATCCGGTATTCGATGCATTATATCGCAAAAAATTTTCCTCGGTATTTGATTGAAAACCCGGTATTCGATAAGATTCGTACGAGACATGTCCACGTGTGGCCTGAACTGCCTCGTGTGTGCCAGTGTTTACAAGCCAGCCAGTGTGCGCGCATCTAAGGATACATTTGGTACATTCCATATTATCCATATTATCGCTGTGTTTGGTGCTTGTTTCTGCAAAATGAGTCGCCATGGGCCCCAAGAAAGCTTCTAGTGCCAACCTTTTGAGAAAAAAGTCGCTAATGACTTATGAAATGAAGAAAGAGATAATTGCAAAGTACGAAAGTGGAGTGCGTGTGTCGGAGCTGGTTAGGTTGTATAATAAACCCCAATCAACAATCTCTACTATAGTGACCAGGAAAACGGCAATCAAGGAAGCTGTTCTTGAAAAAGGTGCAACTGTGATTACGAAACAGCGACCGCAAGTGTTAGAAAATGCTGAGAGATTGTTATTGGTGTGGATAAATGAAAAACAGATAGCAGGAGATAGCATCTTTCAAGCGATCATTTGTGAAAAGGCTAGGCAGCTGCATGACGATTTGGTAAAGAAATTGCCTGCAACTAATGGTGATGTGAGTGAATTTAAGGCCAGCAAAGGTTAGTTTGAAAGATTTAAGAATCGTAGTGGCATACATAGTGTGATTAGGCATGGTGAGTCTGCCAGTTCGGACCAAAAAGCAGCTGAAAAATACGTGAAGGAATTCAAGGATTACATAGACAGTGAATGACTGAAACCTGAACAAGTGTTTAATTGCAACAAAACAGGCCTGTTTTGGAAGAAAATGCCAAGCAGGACCTACATTACTCAGGAGGAAAAGGCACTCCGAGGACATAAGCCTATGAAAGACAGGCTTACTCTATTGATGTGTTCCAATGCTAGTGGTGATTGCAAAGTGAAGCCTTTATTGGTGTATCACTCTGAAACTCCCAGAGTGTTCAGGAAAAACAGTGTCCTCAAGGCTAATTTGTGTGTGCTGTGGAGGGCAAACAGTAAGGCATGGGTCACTAGGGACTTTTTCTATGACTGGTTACACCAAGCATTTGCCCCCACTGTGAAAAATTACCTAACTGAAAAGAAATTAGACCTTAAGTGCCTCCTGGTATTAGACAATGCCCCTGGTCATCCTACAGACTTGGCAGAGCGACTTTCTGGGGACATGAGCTTCATTAAGGTCAAGTTTTTGCCTCCTAATACGACTCCTCTCCTGGAGCCCATGGACCAGCAGGTCATTTCCAACTTCAAGAAACTGTACACAAAAGCTATGTTTCAAAAGTGCTTTATAGTGACCACAGAAACTCAACTGACTCTAAAAGAGTTTTGGAAGGATCACGTTAATATCCTCAATTGTATAAACCTTATAGGTACGGCTTGGGAGGGAGTGACTAAGAGGACCTTGAACTCTGCTTGGAAAAAACTGTGGCCAGAATGTGTAGACAAAAGGGATTTTGAAGGATTTGAGGCTAACCCTGAGAATCCTATGCCAGTTGAGGAATCCATTGTGGCATTGGGGAAGCCCTTGGGGTTGGAGGTTAGTGGGGAGGATGTGGAAGAGTTGGTGGAGGAGGACATTGAAGAACTAACCACTGATGAGCTGATAGATCATCTTCAACAGCAAGTGGCCACACTTGAGGAAACTGCTTCGGAGGAGGGGATAGAGAAATTGAAGAAGTTGCCTACTTCAAAGATTAAGGAAATGTGTGGAATGTGGCTTAAAGTGCAAACCTTTTTTGATGACAATCACCCTAACACAGCTATTGCAAGCCATGCTGGTGACTATTACACTAACAATGTTGTGAACCACTTTAGGAATGTCATAAAGGAACGGGAGGTACAGGCCACTATGGACAGATATGTTGTGCGACAGAAATCCAGTGACTCTGAAGCTGGTCCTAGTGGCATTAAAAGAAGAAGGGAAGTAACCCCGGAAAAGGACTTGCTACCTCAAGTCCTAATGGAAGGGGATTCCCCTTCTAAACACTAACACCTCTTCCCTCCTCCCATCCCATCAATCATCACCAGATCTTCATTAAAGGTAAGTGTCAATTATTTTATTGTTATTGTAATTATTCTATTGCATTAAACTTAATATTTCATGTAGTAAAATTTTTTTTTCATACTTTTGGGTGTCTTGCACGGATTGATTTGATTTCCATTATTTCTTATGAGGAAAGTTGATTCGGTTTTCGATATTATCAGTATTCGATGAGCTCTCAGGAACGGATTAATATCGAATACTGGGGGTCCACTGTATTATTATTATTATTATTATTACTCTATTATTATTATTATTACTATTATTATTATTGTTATTATTATTGCAATATAAATGATTTGGAATTTTTATTCACACAAAAAAAATAGAAGATTTACTGTTATGCAGACTACTGCATTATTGTAATAATTGTTTAAATAATGTCAGTCCATTCATGACTGCATATTGGAATGGAGGTGACGTCATTTGTTTACTCTTGAACAACGGCAAAAATAGAACATTTCTGCTACTCTGAGCTCATTTTCAGGGTACTAGTTGTCATGAAACTAATCAAAATCATATCTATTTCTGTAATATATCTTCCATTCTATCAAACGAGACCAAAAAAACGAGAAGACAACCATAAAAACCATATGTAAATACCTCTAAGGGGCGGCTAATTGCTGAGAGGAGAACTCCATTATTTATGGTCCAATTTTTTTCATTTTTGGTGTACATTAACCCTTTCAGGGTCCGTCCCGTAGATCTACGGCTTTATGTTCAGGGTCCAAACCGTAGATCTACGCCATGAGCTCAGCTCACTCTGATAAACTGTGAGTGGTACATTTGGGCCTAGATATGAGAGAATACATCTATGTGGTATGTGTGCACCACATAAAACAGATCCTGCAGCACACTGTGTATAATGAGAGAAAAAAACTTAAATCATGATTTTTCGATTAAAACAGCAACTTTGCAGTGTTTATTCATATGTTTTTTATAGTTGTATTTGCGATTTCTTGGTCTCATTTGATAGAATGGAAGATATATTACAGAAATAGAGATGATTTTGATTGGGTTTTTTAGCACTGGAAATGGCTTGAAACTGAGCTCAAAGTAGCGGCAATGTTAAATTTTTGCCGATATTCAAGAGTAAACAAACGACCTCACACGTCTAATACACGTCAGCTGGTGGGTCTAATATACGTTCACAAATATGGTGATGATATTTATACAATTATTACAGTATTGCATAACAGTAAATCTTCTATTTTTTGGTGTGAATAAAAATTCATTATGTGAATAAAAAATCAAAATGGAATTTATTTGTAAAGCCTCAAAACATAACTAATGAACAGAGGAAACGTTAGTTTAGTGCCAGGAATGCCTACATTGTTTATTCTGGACCCTATTTTGAAATTGGAATATTTTGAACTTTGTGTTAAATTGGCCAAATTAACAATTTCCGATCACTTTATTTTGTAGTTGAAACAGTTGACTTGGCGATTTCTTGTGCTCAATCGATAGAATAGAAGTAATACTAGTGAAATAGCTAAGAATTTGGTTGATTGGAATAATGTAATTGGCCTAAAATGGGAGTCAAAGTCGGCAAAATCGCCGATTCGTAAATGTCGCTGACACATCAAAATTCGCGAGAGCATAATTTCGTCAATTTTCTACCAAATTTCGTACTTTTTGTTTTATTACCTTCACAAAAAGATTCTCTACGATTTCATAAAAAAAAATAACAAATTTTTTTTTTGAAAATTGTTGGACACTGGTGCGTGACTCCAGATTTGGGCCTTGGACCCTGAAAGGGTTAAGAAGCATCTTTCCATCATACATTGCCCAAGTCTCAGTAAGATAGTCCAACAAACAAATGAGATCCAATTCCCTAGATCAAGAGCAAGAGCCCCTCACCAGTGTCAAGGAGCGTCCTTTGATGCCTGCGCGCTTATGGAAATTTCACTTGCATATGGAAGCAAAAAATCGACCGATTGACTGCTCGTATTTGGAAAAACTCACACGTGGATGCGCTCGCAAGTATAGGTTCCACTGTATATATTTTTTTAACATGTCGGCTGTTTCCCACCAAGGGGGGGGGGGGGGTAACCCAAAAAGAAAGAAAAACTTTCATCATCATTCAGCATTTTCACCATCACTAATACATAATCAATGTCTTTACAGAGGCACTCAGATATGACAGTTTAGATGTCCCTCCAAACTGCCATTATCCCAAACTCCTCCTTTAAAGTGAAGTATAATGCCTGCACTTTTAAGCACTCAGAACTGTCGTTCTGAGCTCTTCTGCCAAGACAGTGATTATGTATGAGTGATGGTGAAAGTGTTGAATAATGATGAAAGTTTTTTCTTTCTTTTTGGGTCACCCTGCCTTGGTGGGAAAGGGGCAACGTGTTAAAAAAAAAAAAAACTACGAAACATTAATTTATAAAATAGATTATTTTAAAATGAAATTTACCATGGTGTGGGTGGAGTTAGAACCTATGGGTTCTCAGCCCATGCTTTAGAACCTATTGGTTCTAACCCCACCTTTACTGTGGTTTATTTGCAATTGTGTTATTACAGTGTCATAAGTCGAAGTGAACTTTCTTTTACAGTGAGGGTGAAATTTCTATATGTATGGAGTACATGGATGGTGGATCCCTTGATCTGTGTCTGAAGAAAGCCATCCGCATTCCTGAGCCAATTTTAGCAAAAATATGTTCTACGGTAAGTTTAACTTGATTCTCCTTGTTATAAGCTTGTTGAGTATTGTCTTCACAATTGTGATTATTAAAACGTTTATCAAGCTCTGGTCTTGTACTAATTCATTTTACCCTAAAGGATAACTGATCCAAAAAAGAAGACACATTCACCATTTATTAAATCAATGTTTTGACAGAAGTGTGCTGACATCACATGTCAGATGACCCTCTGAACTTGAATATCCACACCTCCTCCTCCAGAGTGCAGCTTTCTTCTTATCACTTCCAGGACTTAGTCCAACTAACTGGTTTCCTCGAGTCCCTTCTGTGTTATTTTACTCACCCTCCACTAGTATATCAAGCTATAAAAACCACTTACCTCCATTCATATCTAATGCACTCACACAAGCCTATTGAATGTTCAAGCACCTCCCCTCCATCACTTCTGGAATGACCTTTATGTCTCCTTCCTTCCTTTCATCTCAGATTTATATACCCCTTTAGGATTCCTATTCTGCTCTGTCCTCTAAATGCCCAAACCACCTGAGTAGCCTCTCCTGAGCCCTCTTGAATTATTCTTTTGGTGATCTCTACACTGTCTTCCAATCCTCAGTCTCCACATTATCTGCATAATATTCACACTGTACATTGCTCTCCATATGACATCTCCATTATCTCCAGCCTCCTTGCTGCAGTGTTTAAAGCCCATACTTTACACCCATATAAAAGTGTTGGTATCACTGTGATGTATGGTCCTGGTAAGTTTAGTGCTTCATTTTGATTATAATAATACTACCACTGTACTTTGGCACATTCACCTTTTTTTCCGTTATATAGATAAACTTTTCATAAATGCCTCAACACCCCCACCTACCTTTTTTTCCCTTCTATATTCTGTGGTTCACCTCTTCTTTTATCAACCAATTTGCCAACTTGTCAACTCTCAAATATAGATGAATCTCCCACCAGCATAGCTGTGGCAGGAGATTCATCTGTCAAAGTTTGCATTTGTGATCACAGCGAGGTCCATGCTAACCTCCCTATGGTGTATAGAAATATACCTAGTTGGATGAATATTGTTCTACCCAGCTGGCTGAGTGGCTTACGAACTGGCCATTGGTTCACACCCCACCTGTTCCGTGGTTTGATTGCAATTGTGTTATTACGATTTCATTAGATATGAGCGCTTTGTAAATCATACAGTTTAACTTATGTTATATATCATATATTGATAAATACCTCAGTATGCTTGAGTTTGTTTCTGGTTAATTTTTTCCTACCTGTGCTAGGTTTTCTCCCTTTTTTTTCATTTGCAGGTCGACATTGCATGTGCTGTATTTAGAGGTAAATGTAGGCCTGATTCAAGCATATTGGGGAATACATTGCTATATTACTTACAACAAAGGATAGGTTTTGAATATTTAATAGTGAATAAATAATGCATCTATACACTTAATAACAGCATTTTTTCACCATCAGGTATTGAAAGGTTTGGCATATCTTCGTGAAAAGCACCAGATAATTCATCGGGATGTAAAGCCTTCCAATATTCTTGTCAATTCTCGTGGAGAAATCAAGATCTGTGACTTTGGAGTGTCAGGCCAACTTATTGACAGCATGGCTAACACATTTGTAGGAACCAGAAGTTATATGTCAGTAAGTGCAGGAGAAGGATTCTACTTCAGTATTGTCAACTTTATTAGACTGTAAATTATCACAATAAGTGCAGGCTCTTACTTTTTGCTTGATACGGTCCTCCTGCCTCATGTAAGGTGGCCCATGCAAAAAAAAGACAAAAACGAAAAAAAAAAAAAAAAAAAAAAAAAGAAAACATTTCGGTTTCTGCACAGTTATTAGCGTTCATTCAAACTTCCCTTGCTTTTGTTAGCCCATTCTTCCTTACTGCATAGCACCTAACCACTTACCTCAGTTACCATATACATATACTGTGCATATCTACATTGGCTTAATTTTCCTTAATCTCTAGTCTTGTACTAATTCTTCACTTTTCACTCTATAAATATCACCCAAAAATTGCATCCATAGAGCTTCTTATGATTTTCAGCATACAAAGTATTTGCATAAATGAATGAGTTTTTACCTGGGGAGTACATATGTAATATATGGTATAATAGCATATTTTATGTATTGTCCACAGCTTTTGGAGGTAATTTATGTGTATTCAAATGTGCTATTTTGTCTTATTCTGGGTAGCCCATGCAAAATGTTGAAATATCTTGCATGTTTACCTCGATTCACTTTTTTGATTGTTCTTCACTTTTATTTTACTGTATATACCCATGTATAGGTTTAGATTTTAAGATCAAATTTTTAAGCAAAATGACGAAGGTAGACCTATTAGTGGATGCTACTTTTGAAAGATTGAAATTCTGATTCCTTCTATGTCACATCAAGGTATAAACCACACTCGGTAATCATATTCCACCTTAAATCTTCTTTCAACAAACTGGCCGTATCTCACTGAAGCAAGATGGGTCTGAAACAAAAACAAGTTTCTCTTCATAACTTCAGTAATGTATGCAATTCTCCTGTATACTAGCCCCTTGCTCCTGGTATTTTAGTTGCCTCTTAAAACATGCATGGCTTATGGAAGAAGAATTCTGTTCCACTTCTCCATGGAGATAAGAGGAAATAAACAAGAACAAGAACTAGCAAGAAAATAGAAGAAAACCCAGAGGGGTGTATATATATGCTGGTAGACAGCAACCACCCAGGGAGGTACTACCGTCCTGCCGAGTGAGTGTAAAACGAAAGCCTGTAATTGTTTTACATGATGGTAGGATTGCTGGTGTCTTTTGTCTGTCTCCTAAATATGCAAGATTACAGGTACATCTTGCTACTTCTACTTAGACTTAGGACACACTACGCATACATATACACATTTATTTATACACATCTGAGTTTTCTTTAATTTTATCTTAATAGTTCTTGTTCTTATTACTTTTCCTTTTATATCCATGGGGAAGTGGAATGCAAATCTTTCCTCCGTAAGCCATGCGTGTTGTAAAAGTCAACTAAAATGCCGGGAACAATGAGCTAGTAACCCCTTTTCCTGTAATAATTACTAAAAAGAATAAGAAAATTGTCAAAGTGGGATGTCTGAATGTGCTTGGATGTTGTGCAGATGATAAGAAAGAGATTATTGTGGATGTTATGAATGAGAAGAAGCTGGATGTCCTGGCTTTAAGTGAAACAAAGCTGAAGGGGGTGGGAGAGTTTCAGTGGAGAGGAATAAATGGGATTAGGTCAGGGGTTTCAAATAGTTAGAGCTTGAAGGATAAGCTATGGCAGGAAAAGAGAGACTATAAATGTATTAATTCAAGGATTATGTGGAGTAAAACAAAGGTAGGATGTGAAAAGTGGGTTATAGTAAGCATATATGCACCTGGAGAAGAGAGGAGTGTAGAGGAGAGAGATTTTGGGAAATGTTGAGTGAACATGTGGGGAGTTTTGAACCAAGTGTGAGAGTACTTGTGGTTGGGGATTTCAATGCTAAAGTGGGTAAAAATGTTGTGGAGGGAGTAGTAGGTAAATTTGGGGTGCCAGGGGTAAATGAAAACGGAGAGCCTTTAATTGAGCTATGTGTAGAAAGAGGTTTGGTAATAAGTAATACATATTTTATGAAAAAGAGGATAAATAAATATACAAGGTATGATATAGCACGTAATGAAAGTAGTTTATTAGATTATGTATTGGTGGATAAAAGGTTAATGGGTAGGCTCCAGGATGTATATGTTTATAGAGGGCAACTGATATATCAGATCATTATTTAGTTGTAGCTACAGTTAGAGTAAGAGGTAGATGGGACAAGAGGAAAATGACAACAAGAAGTAAGAGGGAGGTGAAAGTGTATAAACTAAGGGAGGAGGAAGTTCGGGTGAGATATAAGCAACTATTGGCAGAAAGATGGGCTTGTGCAGGTATGAGTAGTGGGGGGCTTGAAGAGGGTTGGAATAGTTTTCAAAATGCAGTATTAGAATGTGGGACAGAAGTTTGTGGTTATAGGAGGATGGGTGTGATAAAAGAGAAAAAGGTAGCTTATGAGAGGTTTTTAAAAGCAGAAGTGTTATAAGAAGAGTAGAGTATATGGAGAGTAAAATAAAGGTGAAGAGAGTGGTGAGAGAGTGCAGAAGGAGAGCAGATGATAGAGTGGGACAGGCACTGTCAAGAAATTTTAATGAATATAAGAAAAAATTTTGGAATGAGTTAAACAAGTTAAGAAAGCCTAGGGAACGAATGGATATGTCAGTTAAAAACAGAGTAGGGGAGTTAGTAGATGGGGAGATGGAGGTGTTGGGTAGATAGCGAGAATATTTTGAGGAACTTTTAAATGTTGATGAAGAAAGTGAGGCGGTAATTGCATGCACTGGCCAGGGAGGTATACCATCTTTTAGAAGTGAAGAAGAGCAGGATGTGAGTGTGGGGGAAGTGCGTGAGGCATTACATAGAATGAAAGGGGGTAAAGCAGCTGGGACCATGACAGAAATGTTAAAAGCAGGAGGGATATAGTCTTGGAGTTACCTGGAGTTTACCTGGAGAGAGTTCCGGGGGTCAACGCTCCCCGCGGCCCGGTCTGTGACCAGGCCTCCTGGTGGATCAGAGCCTGATCAACCAAGCTGTTGCTGCTGACTGCACGCAAACCAACGTACGAGCCACAGCCCGGCTGATCAGGAACCGACTTTAGGTGCTTGTCCAGTGCCAGCTTGAAGACTGCCAGGGGTCTGTTGGTAATCCCCCTTATGTGTGCTGGGAGGCAGTTGAACAGTCTCGGGCCCCTGACACTTATTGTATGGTCTCTTAACGTGCTAGTGACACCCCTGCTTTTCATTGGGGGGATGGTGCATCGTCTGCCAAGTCTTTTGCTTTCGTAGTGAGTGATTTTCGTGTGCAAGTTCGGTACTAGTCCCTCTAGGATTTTCCAGGTGTATATAATCATGTATCTCTCCCTCCTGCATTCCAGGGAATACAGGTTTAGGAACCTCAAGCGCTCCCAGTAATTGAGGTGTTTTATCTCCGTTATGCGCGCCATGAAAGTTCTCTGTACATTTTCTAGGTCGGCAATTTCACCTGCCTTGAAAGGTGCTGTTAGTGTGCAGCAATATTCCAGCCTAGATAGAACAAGTGACCTGAAGAGTGTCATCATGGGCTTGGCCTCCCTAGTTTTGAAGGTTCTCATTATCCATCCTGTCATTTTTCTAGCAGATGCGATTGATACAATGTTATGGTCCTTGAAGGTGAGATCCTCCGACATGATCACTCCCAGGTCTTTGACGTTGGTGTTTCGCTCTATTTTGTGGCCAGAATTTGTTTTGTACTCTGATGAAGATTTAATTTCATCATGTTTACCATATCTGAGTAATTGAAATTTCTCATCGTTGAACTTCATATTGTTTTCTGCAGCCCACTGAAAGATTTGGTTGATGTCTGCCTGGAGCCTTGCAGTGTCTGCAATGGAAGACACTGTCATGCAGATTCGGGTGTCATCTGCAAAGGAAGACACGGTGCTGTGGCTGACATCCTTGTCTATGTCGGATATGAGGATGAGGAACAAGATGGGAGCGAGTACTGTGCCTTGTGGAACAGAGCTTTTCACTGTAGCTGCCTCGGACTTTACTCTGTTGACGACTACTCTCTGTGTTCTGTTAGTGAGGAAATTATAGATCCATCGACCGACTTTTCCTGTTATTCCTTTAGCACGCATTTTGTGCGCTATTACGCCATGGTCACACTTGTCGAAGGCTTTTGCAAAGTCTGTATATATTACATCTGCATTCTTTTTGTCTTCTAGTGCATTTAGGACCTTGTCGTAGTGATCCAATAGTTGAGACAGACAGGAGCGACCTGTTCTAAACCCATGTTGCCCTGGGTTGTGTAACTGATGGGTTTCTAGATGGGTGGTGATCTTGCTTCTTAGGACCCTTTCAAAGATTTTTATGATATGGGATGTTAGTGCTATTGGTCTGTAGTTCTTTGCCGTTGCTTTACTGCCCCCTTTGTGGAGTGGGGCTATGTCTGTTGTTTTTAGTAACTGTGGGACGACCCCCGTGTCCATGCTCCCTCTCCATAGAATGGAAAAGGCTCGTGATAGGGGCTTCTTGCAGTTCTTGATGAACACAGAGTTCCATGAGTCTGGCCCTGGGGCAGAGTGCATGGGCATGTCATTTATCGCCTGTTCGAAGTCATTTGGCGTCAGGATAACATCGGATAGGCTTGTGTTAATCAAATTTTGTGGCTCTCTCATAAAAAATTCATTTTGATCTTCGACTCTCAGTCTGGTTAGCGGCTTGCTAAAAACTGAGTCATATTGGGACTTGAGTAGCTCACTCATTTCCTTGCTGTCATCTGTGTAGGACCCATCTTGTTTAAGTAGGGGCCCAATACTGGACGTTGTTCTCGATTTTGATTTGGCATAGGAGAAGAAATACTTTGGGTTTCTTTCGATTTCATTTATGGCTTTTAGTTCTTCCCGCGATTCGTGACTCCTAAAGGATTCTTTTAGCTTAAGTTCGATGCTTGCTATTTCTCTGACCAGTGTCTCCCTACGCATTTCAGATATATTGACCTCTTTTAGCCACTCTGTTATTCTTTTCCGTCGCCTGTAAAGGGAGCGCCTGTCTCTTTCTATTTTACATCTA